CCCCCCCCCCCCCCCCGCCGTAATATGGTTTATATTTAGTTTAATAACAAGCCCAAAACAAGTTTTAATAAAAATAAAAAGATCGGAATTAATGAATTGCAAGAAGTAGTTGAACTAAGTGCAAAGAGAGTGTACTACATAGTTCCAACTAACCAAACATTTACTTATTTATTATTTCCGACGCCAAAACTTTTAAATAATGTAAGAACAAACCAGTAAGTAGACCAAAAGGAAAGCTGTTTGTAGAAAACCCTGTTTCTGTTTTGAGCAAACTTCACCATCTCCGCATAGAACTTTAGATATTTCCTAGAAACAGAATATGATATATTTTCTAGAAACAGAACCTTAGATATTTCGAAGAAACAAAACATCAGATATTTCCTAGAAACAGAAAATGAGATATTTCCTAGAAACAGAGCCTCATATAGTTCCTAGAAACAGAACCTTAGATAAGAAACAAAAAATTAGATATTATTTAAAATAGAACACGAGATATTTCCAAGAAACAGAACCATAGATATTTGCAAGAAACAGTACATGAGAAATTACCTAGAAACATAACACGAGATATTTACTAAAAAGAGAACATGCGATATTCTCTACAAACAGAACATGAGATATTTCCTAGAAACAGAACGTAAGATATTTCCTAGAAACAGAACATGAGATATATCCTAGAAACAGCACATTAGTTATTTGCTAGAAACAGAACCTTAGATATCTCCTAGAAAAAGAACATCAGATATTTCCTAGAAACAGAACATGAGATATTTGCTAGATATAGAACATCAGATATTTCCTGGAAACAGAACATCAGGTATTTCCTAGAAACAGAACATCAGGTATTCTTAGAAACAGAACATCAGGTATTTCCTAGAAACAGAACATCAGGTATTTCCTAGAAACAGAACATCAGGTTTTTGCTAGAAACAGAACATCAGGTATTTCCTAGAAACAGAACATCAGGTATTTCCTAGAAGCAGAACATCAGGTATTTGCTTGAAACAGAAAGTCAGGTATTTCCTAGAAACAGAAAATCAGGTATTTCCTAGAAACAGAACATCAGATATTTCCTAGAAACAGAACATCAGGTATTAGCTAGAAACAGAACATCAGGTATTTGCTAGAAACAGAACATCAGGTATTTCCTAGAAACAGAACATGAGATATTTGCTAGAAAAAAATACTTGGGGCCAATTTTTTTATTTTGATCTGGAAACAAGATTTTATAAATAGCGAGATGTGGCTAAACTGATGTAGTATGGACTAGTTTAAGTTGAAGTGAAGTGGTTCAACCATGTCTCGCTATTCAGTTTATCTTTTCCTTGGACCGAATTTACCAAATTTGAACTCCTTACGACCCGTTCAAATTTAAATCACCGATTCAAATCCTTCCTTTATCTTTAAACTTTAATCGATGGTTCAACATTTAACCGGCAATTTGATCTTCAGATGCGTAGCTTGAATTCTTAAAATATGGTCACTGGTTATATTTCTTAAAACTAAAAATCTTATTTCTCTCTTAAGGAATCATTTAAAATATTAATATTATTTTATAAAAAAATCTTATTGTACCATTTTCAAATATCAAATTATATACAATTTACAATAAGTAAAAGCACAATTTCTCAAACCTTAACTTTTAAATGGTGTGCTAGACTAAAACGATTAAACTAAATATCCACAGAGAAAACTTTTAAACACAGCATATTTCTACTTTCAAGACCTCTAATTATCCAAGAGGGAATTTTTTGCGCTTCTCATTTGTCAAATATCCAAATATAACGTAGTTTGTTGAACTAAAAGATAAAACTAAGTTCGTTCCGATAAATTAACAAATAGTTTCATTTTTCAACCTCAATTGTCTTCATTGTATAAATATTATACCCATAGAAAATAGAATATATATTAGGGGGGAATTTAGACTATCTCTCGGCATGAATTTTTTCAGTCCCTTTCAGCCTGAAAGGGAGTTCAAAGTGTACAAATCATGTAAATGTTTACAAATTATATGCGGTAGAGTACATTAATACAGTATGTTTCCTTGACTATTCATTTCAATTTCGAATTTTTTAAAGCTGTTAAATAAGCTTTATAATGAATTAGGTGAATTAAAAACATCATTTGATTTATAGTTATAACGGAAAATCATCGTTTGTAAAGTGAAAGGCATAGAGTCTATGTGAAATGATCATTGGTCAATTATGAAACCAGCCTATTTCATAATTTGNTATAGAGCACAAATGTGTGAAGTACACCTGCAGTATGGAAACAGTACAACAAAATGGCCGTTTTCTTTTTTCTAGTAAATTCCTCTCTAATATATATTCTATTTTCTATGATTTTACCTCTAAAATAGCTGAAACAGTATATCTGTCCATATAGTTGATAAGATTTACAAAACATAATATTATCAAAGAAATAATATTGGATTTGGACCAGTTCTTTTGAGTTGAACGCACAGTCGGATACAGGTCAGTAGCTGCCGTAGTGTCAGCCATAGTGCTAAGAGCTGTATACTCCGCCTTCTCAGCACTGTCCTGGGATTTAACTGACTCGCGCATTTTCAAGGATAGATTTGTTGACACGGAAATCTTTATCAGTTGTTTATTTGTTCAGCGGCCATTTTGGATGCATTATCTTGTATTCAAGAGTTAATTGTAAACACTCATTTTCATTTCTTTATTCTAAAAAATAGTCGATATTTAAGTAATTATGGAAGTTATCGTGTGAAGCATTGATTGGTTGGACTTAAAATTTTAACCATTATTTATTTCTACTCCTGAGTTCTTATGGGACATTAAACAAACAGACATAGAATTACTATGCTATATGTACCATATACACTGAAGATTAGTTTAACCCTTACTGACGTCTCCTTAGCCCCAATTATTAAGGTGTAGGGGTAAGGGTCTATCTATAATATATCATACGTTATAGGATAACTCGGGTTCTAATTAGCGTGCAAAACTGCACAAATTCAAACTTGTAATGCAAATATAGCTATGTGGCTATAAATGTAGATAAGAGAAATTAGCGCGATAAATGACAGATGGTAAATTATTAAAAAGCCCTTTTCCCAGAAAATTCAAATATATGCTGTAAATAGAAGAAACAAGGATACATTTGCAGGGAATCATGAAAATAAAGAATGAGATAATATAAATTCACTTCTCTGAAGTCTCATCCTTTGTAAGTAACACTGTATTTCGTAGTTGCCACATATTAGACAGTTTTCACTCAGAAGAAGTAAAATGTGTTTGTATAGAGTACACCTGTACTCACTTGTCGCTATCTATATGTGAACTCGTTCCGTGGCTAGTGCTCATAAGTGTTCACAATGAACTTTGCGGTCGAGAGAGTACAAATTTAATAGATGAGCATTGTGCAACAGGTTTTCAGGGTTAAATATTACTTCTTTGCATTTCTTTTGGTTACCCCTTGCATATTATTCATTTATTTTCAAATAGAAGCTCCTCTATGAAAATTTTAGCAGATATTTTTGATTTTAATATCCCTGTCCTTTGACATTCTAAGATTGATTTGATTTCTCGCCTTTTATATGATCCAAGCTATTGCATATAAATAATAGGGGGTGGGGCAAGAAGTGGGGAAGGGGGGGAGACAATCTTATAAACTTGGTTTCGTACATACATCCATGGTTAATGTTCTAAATAAATATTTCGAAAAACAAACAGGGGTAATTCTTAAATGTTGACCATTTGTTTCTTTTTTAAGAACATTTTTTACGACTTTTCTTTAAATAATTGTTCAATTGATTTAATAATTATACTGTAGATAACGTCCATTACGTTCATAACGACAGTAACCAACTATAATTCTCCTTATTGGAAGTTTATACGCGCACATGCAAATATAAAAAAAAATAGTCATAATAGCATGCAAATAATTTATTTACACCCTCTTATGCCTATTGTTTATATTTCCATGCAAAATATATAATCCATAATAAAACATACTTATAAGGAAAATTATTTTAATTATTTTTAAAACTAATTTTGATGACATTAACGTGATGACATGTTTAATGGAAAAATATGGATATTTGCATCAAAATGAGAAAATTTCACTCATCCATCAAATTATTTTCATTTTGCTTTTTGAATTTTTTCATTAAGTAGTATTTTACAGTAAAGTATACATGCAGGGATTTGAGAATCATCAAGATTGATCTCGTATTTGATATTTGTTATTCTTTTAATCAAGGACTTGAATGTAAAGGGGGGGGGAGGGCAGAGGATGTTGCCCCCTCCTAAACTTCGTATCTTATCAATTTTTTTATTTTTGCAACGTATAACTAAAATAAACTGCACGCAAGATTGAAATCAAATTTTTTTGAATCAATTCTAATTATATCTTATTTCTTTTTAAACATTACAAATATTTATCTATCATTTTTATTTCTATTTTGTCGAAAAATACTAACAATCCACCACTAGTTTATATTAAATATAATGTAAACAATAAATATGTAACTTTCCTTTTCCTTTCATTTCCTTTTCCTTTTTATTTTAATTTTTTTATTTTTTTTGAATAGAGAGGAATTCCCACAATCTCTATTTTAGGAGATTTTAAAATATTTTCTCCTTAAACACTTAGTTTTGTTTGTTTTTTGTTATTTTTCATAAATAAATGATTCCTTACTTACTTACTTACTTACTTACTTACTTACTTACTTACTTACTTACTTACTTACTTACTTACTTACATACTTACATACTTACTTACTTACTTACTTACTTACTTACTTACTTACTTACTTACTTACTTACTTACTTACTTACTTACTTACTTACTTACTTCCCCCCCCCCCATATTGCCCCAGCTTTATTAAACCCAGTATCAGAAACCCGGTTTCATGAATTGGGTCCGGCAGTTTTGTAGATATCAATTTTTTGTTAAGAAATATTATTTCATGTTTCTAGTTTGTTTACATTGTTTGTTTCGTTTTCTGATTTCTAAAGTTAAAATTTACGCAAATGTTTAGACTTAAAAAGAAAAAAAGTTTTGCTCAACCATAGTCTGTTAAATTTCCGGCTCAGTTATATCTCTCAGATTATAGTTTTACTGCACTCAGGGGCATTTAGAACAAAACAATCTTAAAGGGAGTGTTTGCAAAACTAATCTTTTTAAACGAGTCTGCAAAAATATATTCTTTAAGTGAACGATTGCAAAAATAATCTCTAAAATAGTGTTTGCAAAAATAATCTTAAACTTAGAGCTTGCAAAAATAAGCTCAAAGAAAGAGTTTGCAAAAATAATCCTTTAAAGTAATTAGTTGCAAGAAAACGAAAGAGTCTTCAAAAATAATCTTCTGGAAGTGGATGCAAAGATAATCTCAAAAATAGTGTTGGTAAAAATAAGCTCACAGAAAAAGTTTGCAAAAGAGAATAGATAAAAAAATTATTTTAAAAAATAGTGTTGGCAAAATTAAGCTCGAAGAAAGAGTTTGTATAATAATCTTGAAGTAAATGGTTGCAAAATTAATCTCAAAAATAGTGTTTGCAAAAATAATCTCAAAAGTACAGTGATAACCAAAAACACTCCGAAATAGGAAGACGACTTTATAGAAATTGATGGTATTACAAAGCAAATTATTTTACTAGACACTAAATCACTAATTAAGTAAAGTGGGTCTGTTAACATTGCACACTTTCTGTGTCCCAGGCTTTTCGGGCTCTTTAAAGTCATAACTTAAGTCTTAAAGTCGTCTTCCTATTTCAGAGTTTTCTTGTTATCACTTAAAAGTAGTTTTAGCAAAAATAATCCTATAGAAACAGTTAAAAAAATAATCTTAGAGTGAATGGATGCAAAAAGAGTCTTAAAACATTGTAGTGATGTATCTACCTATCTATCTTTATATCTATATATCTATCTATCTACATTTCTATCTATCTATCTATCTATCTATCTCTCTATCTATTTATCTATCTATCTATCTACCTATCTATCTATCTATCTATCTATTTATCTATCTATCTATCTATCTATCTATCTATCTATCTATCTATCTATCTATCTATCTATCTATCTATCTATCTATTTATCTATCTATCTATCTATCTACCTATCTATTATCCTTGATTGTCTGATTACTAATCTGCTATATTCTCCTCTTTATATAATATTGTTTATCTCCGGCTCATGTCAAACTAAAGTATATTCCACGTCAAACTAAAGTATATTCCACGTCAAACTAAAGTATATTCCACGTCAAACTAAAATATATTCCACGTCAAACTAAAGTATATTCCATGTCAAACTAAAGTATATTCCACGTCAAACTAAAGTATATTCCACGTCAAACTAAAGTATATTCCACGTCAAACTAAAGTATATTCCACATAAAAATAAAGTGTATTCCACGTCAAACTAAAGTATATTCCAATTCAAGCTAATTATTATCATTTTTATGTTTAAAATGTACAATGTACATTGTTTTATCTGCAATTCTCATTCGTTTATAGTGGGCCAACCAATTAAAACAACCTACTCTGGTTAGGCGGGTCCAAACTACATAGTAAATTGTGATTTTTTATTTGTATTATCTCGTGCTTTGTAGTTGAATAAAAAAATATGAAAAAAAATATGAATATGTATATTTCACGTCAAGCTAAAGTATATTCCACGTAAAACTAAAGTATATTCCACGTCAAACTGAAGTAAATTACACGTCAAACTAATGTATATTTCACGTCAAGCTAAAGTTTATTCCACGTCACACTTAAGAGTTTTCCACGTCAAACTAAAGTATATTCCACGCAAAACTGAAGTATATTCCACGCAAAACTAAAGTATATTCCACGTCAAACAAAAGTATATTCCACGTCAAACTAAAGTATATTCCATATTAATGATGTCACATAAATTTTATTTTATTTTGCAGTGGGCTAGGAATAATACTAAGAATAATTTCTCTTGTTTACTTTCATAACATCAAGGTTTTACATCCTATTCTACAAATATAAATTCATGAACAGTCACTTAAAAGGGACTGCAGTTTACTGAAGAGTGCCATGTTCGATTAACAACGGTCCCTTTACCGTCTGATCAAGAATAAATGAGATATCCACACTTTTAGCTTTTATTTGTATTAAAGTTGAAATAGAGGAAATTGTTTGAATTAAACACTTTTTTAAAAAGGACAACATCTTCAAATATTGTTATCAGATAAAGGTGGAAAGACCCACGCTGCGGACCCCTCCCTTTAAACATCGGATGTCACGTGAACTGCAATGACTGTCTCTTTCAACTTTAAGTGACAAAGAAAGACAAATGGCCTTCAGATCGACATTTTTTGTCGAGTTTGAGGTCCTCAATAGTTAATCCTATTATACAATATTTATGTAAATATCTACAGTACATAATAAACTAAAAATACTTTTATAATAAAATAAAGATCAAATATTGTAACTATCAAGTTTCCATATTATGTATTACAATGTAAGATTCAGAACAGAAATTGAAAATATTAGAAAACATTTGATAGTTTGAAAAGTTTGTTCTCCACGTGAAAAACAATTTTTAACGGACTGTTGACGTAGTTTTAAGTGATCCTATAAGTAAAGAGGGGCATTTCTAAGGTTTCCAGCGGACAAAAACTTTTACGAAAAAATGCGAATATTTTCGTTCGAATTCGAAAACTTTTTCGCGAAATTTCGCATTTTCGCGAAACTTTATTTTAAGAAAA